TGATTTTTTTAATTTATATATGATATTATAGTGAAACTAATGAATTTATAATCATAACACTATAAGAATTTGCACTTTTAGCGACCACTTTCCGCAACCAATATAAAACTTGGTAGTTAAAAGTTACCTTTTGGCGACTAAATATTAATTAGTCGCGAATGATCATTATTTTTGGTGACCAAATATGAGTAGGTCGCAGAAGGTCATATTTTGGCGATCAAAAAATGAGTTGGTCGCAGAAAGTGGTATGGTTTTGGCGACCATGGTTTTGGCGACCAACTACAAATTTGGTCGCGGAAGGTCACATTTTGGCGACCAAAAAATAAGTTGGTCCCGGAAGATCAAAAATAAGTTGGTTGTGGAATTGGCAACCAAAAGTTTGGTCGCCAAAAACTTATTTTTAGTGACAAAAAATATTTTAGTCACCGTATATTGAGTTTTGACTACTAAAACAATGTAGTCGCTGAATGGAAAATAAAAAATTATTTTTTATCTATTTTGGTCGCCAAAAAACTTATTTTTAGTGACTAAAAATATTTTAGTCACCGTATATTGAGTTTTGGCTACGAAAATAATGTAGTCGCCGAATGAAAAATAAAAAATTATTTTTTATCTGTTGGCGACCAAAACTTATTTTTAGCGACTAAAAATATTTTAGTCGCCGTATATTGAGTTTTGGCTACTAAAACAATGTAGTCGCCGAATGGAAAACAAAAAATTATTTTTTATCTTTTGGCGACCAAACTTTTGGTCGCCAAAAAACTTGTTTTTAGCGACTAAAAATATTTTAATTGTCGTATATTGAGTTTTGGCTACTAAAACAATTTAGTCGCCAAATGGAAAATAAAATATTGTTTTTTTTCTTTGGCGACCAAAAATTTGGTTGCCAAAAACTTATTTTCAGCAACCAAAAAAAATTTAGTCGCCAAATTAGTACTTTTAGCGACTAATATTTTAGTCGTCGTTGATTGACATTTGGCAACTAAAAAAGTTTGTCGACGAAGGTACCTTTTCTGCGACTAATCTAGTCTTTTGGTCACCAAAAGTTTGGGAGGGAAATTTGAAATGTGGGGGCGGGAATTGAAACTTTTTTGTGACAAAAAAAATTTGGTCGCCGATTGTCAAACGACGTCACTCGTTTTTTTTTTTTTTTTGTCTTTTATGAGTTTTAAATTTTTTTTTATAAAAAAAATTAAATATTTATATTATACCTAACTAAACAAAAATTTAAAATTTAAAAATATATATAATTCACTCCACCATTAAAAAAATAAAATTCACTTAAGATTATTGTTTGAAAAAAATAATTACTTAAAAATTATTTTTTTTGGGATCATCGGACCACTTGGTCTCTCTCTCTCTCTCTCTCTCTCTCCATCCTTTTCATTGGCCCCGTTTGGTAGAGCTGTGGGAAAGTGATTATAGCCCTGTTTGGTAGAGCGGTGGGAAAGTGCTTATAGCTTATGCCTAAACAGCTTATAACTTATAACTTTCAACTTAAGCTGATTTCCAGCTTATTCTTAAAGCATCTCCTGCCCCACTCAAAGAATAAGCTGATTTCTGACTTCCACAAAGGTATAAGCTATAAGCTATAAGCTAAACCAAACACATCAAAATAGCTTAAATTAAGCTGAAAGCTGAAATAAACTGTAAATAATTTCTGCCAAACAGGCACTATAACTTATAGCCTAACAGCTTATGGCTTATAGCTGTGAACATAAGCTGATTTTTTACTTATAAATTAAGTTTCTTCTCCCCCACTCAAGAATAAGTTGATTTTTGACTTACAAAAAGCTATAAGTTGTATTGTTAAGTTGAACCAAACAAATCAAAATAGCTTAAATTAAGCTAAAAGCTGAAATAGGCTGGAAATAAGCCCTACCAAACAAGGCCATTCTCTCATCTCTCATTCATTTGTGCTCTCTTGATCTAGAAGCTTCTCATCACCAACACACTCACTCTCTCTCATCAACGACGGTGAAAGTCTCTCTCTCTCTCTCTCTCTCTCTCTCTCCATTATTCTCTTCGATGAAAAAGGGACTATCAGCAGGGGTCTCTTCTCGTCGCCGATCCCCTTCACTTTCTCTTTTCTCGTTGTCGATCGGTCTCTCATAGTCGACATCCTACCCCTCCTCTTTCTCTCCATCTATTTCATCTCTCTCCGGTGAATATCAGTTGACGAGGATCTAACATCTAACATCACATCACTGCCGATCAAGAATTTAAATTTTTAATATTTAGAGTCTTTTTGGTGAGGAATTATTTTGTCACTAATTTTGGAGAGAAAATTTTGACATATTAGGCAGTAATGAAAAAAAATAGACTACTAATTTTTCCCTCTTTTTTATTTTTATCAGTTTTCCTCTTATCTCTCTCTCTCTCTCTCTCTTTCTCTCTCTCAAAACAAAACACAAGCTAGCTCTCTTTGTTTTGCACCCCTTGTCCTCCTAATTTTCGTCGTTAAATAAGATTAATTTGTGACAAATTATAAATTTTGTCACATATAATAAAAAAAAAAAAAGAAGTAAAAGGTGAGGAAATTTATTTTCATCAATAAATACTTCTTTTTAGGTGAGAAAAAATTAAGTTTCATCATAAAAAAAAATTCATCTAAATTTGTTCGGATGGTGCTAAAATTTTGAGACTTTTGGTAAGGAAAAAATTTGTCACAAATTATAAAATTATTAGTCAGGAATATATTTTCGTCACCAATGAGTCTAAATATTTTGATATCATTTGGTGAGGAGTATGTTTTCATGGCATATAATTTTTAATATTTTGAGATCTTTTGGTGGAAAAATTATTTTGTCACAAATTTTAGAGAGAGAATTTTGAAATATTGAGCAGGTAATGAAAAAAAAAATTGGCTACTAATTTCCCCCCTTTTTTGTGTTTTTATTAGTTTTCCTCCCATTTCTCCCTCTAAAAACACACTCCCTCTTCAGCTCCTAACTATCCACTGTGCAAACCACTCTGTCAAGCCCCTCGATGAGTGGTAACTCAAGCGCTCCCTCACCGACTTCCTCAAATCCTTCTTCTCCCTCACTGTTCCCGAAGACAACATCGTCGTTCGCAGATTCAAGGACTTCAAGAAGCGCAAGTGCGATGATCCTGTCGCTCACGGCGCTCTCTTTATCCACGACCTAGGGTTTCTATCCAAGTTTTCCAAATTGGAAATTCTTCATGGTATAGATGGAGAAGACGATGTTAAGGTATTCGAGAAGAAGTTTCTAGACTGGAGAAGATCGGTTGTTGGTAAGACCGACGGGATTGAGTTGAATCTTGAAGGTGTTAAGTTTACATTGACTACTTCAGTTTCGGAATCGGATGATTTTGGAATGACGAAAGAGTGGGAAGAGCTTAATGCGTTAGGTAATCGAGGTTTGTTCTTGATTTTATCCATAGTTTTGAATTTTTGAAGCTTACTGATCTTGCTGTCTACAATAATGAATTCAGTAATCTAACTCAATATTTTTTCTTCTAAATGCTTAATAATTTTGCGAGAACTACTGGTAATAATCGATGTATGTATGTGTTGTTTGGTTGTAGGACATTCAAGAGGTGGGAGGCAGCAGCAGCCTGATACAATTGTGTTGAAAGGTGTTCCACGGCACTGGTTTGCTGAGCCAAGAGTTTCGTCTAAGCCTTCAATGCTGGTCACTCACACGATTCTTTCTGCATTTGGGAAGATAAGGTGTGTGTTAATGTCATGGTTTCTGCTATTTTTCTGTTTCCTTGATGCATTGCAATTCCATAATATTGTTCTTGTTGAATTTATGGGGTGGTTGTGTTTTTTTGAGGCTTCTGACATTGAGTTCTGTTTTTATGCTCCAATGCACACATCATATTATCTTGAATATGGTTGTATTGAAATTTCTTAATTTACTTGTCATCTCATTAATTTGATGAAACCATTTCCTCTTGAAACTTCTCATGATTGAAGATTTTAGATAGCAACAAACATTTGGGGTCTCAATGTTCCTAGTTTCGTGTATTGTTGGTGACCAATTCATTGAGAAGATTCGTAGGGTAAGAGGTATGATTTAGATATTGGATCTGCATTTTTTTTTTTTTGATTAATCTGTTTGAGGGAAATCTCGTTTCTTGCTATTTTAATATTTTAAAAAGACATCCTTCAGAAACAACCAAAAGAAAAAAGGGGGAAAAAAAGGGCATGTAAAATTGATGGCATAGTTAATAGTTCATGTTGACCCTTCTGTTTCCCTTTTTTTATTTTTTATTTTTGCTTTTACTTTCCTTTACAAATTGTAAAGTTTACTCATGATGCAAACTGTAAGATCATCTATAAATAGTAAAATTAAAGCAGCGAGAATGTTTGGAAATTGGTTGGTTTCAAGATGGACACACTTGGAACTTTTCTTAATCACATTTTGGTATTGGTTGTCACTGTTTATGCTTATTTTTAAGTTAGTATGGATATAATTAGCTTTCGATATGAAAAATCAAGTATTATAGGTTAAGAGTATTTTGATTATTTCAAAATTTTCTTGACATGGAAGGTAAGGGCATCCATGGGTCATACATAGGTGAAGTTGTGTATTGGGTCATTCTATATTCTTTCTATCTGTTTTAGATGAGTTTTAAAAGTCAAAATTCTAGTCAAATTGAAAATATGTTTCAATTTATTGATGGATGATTTAGAAATGCTTCAGAAACCACAACAATAAAATGTAATGACAAATTAGTGTTGGTAATGAGAAAGACATGGTGGACGAAGGAAGGTGTGAAAAAATGTACAGTAGCATGGTGTTTTGCAGAGCAAGTATAGAGTGGATGAAAGGATAGGCCATCATGCCATCATGTCCGTGGATGTAGTACATATATCTTGTCTATTTGCTTTATTTTTTTATTTTTTTTTTTCACGATTTTGCATAATAGTTTTGATAACCAAACAAAGCTTTAAGATCAAAAGAAAATATTGCGACAGTGATTGTCAGTGATTAAACAGTGATTATCATAAGCTACAATGTTCGTTAACCATGGCTACAATGTTGAGGTATGTTTTTGGCCTTCCTTTTACTTTTGGTACTAACAACCATCATAATTAAATTAAAATTGAAAGTTATTTCACGAAAGCATAAGATTGATTTTCTAGCATTTTGAGGTATGGATTACACTCGTGACTAGATATCCATACCTTCAAATGCTATGTACACTTGGATATTCATTTGTCTTTTCAATAAGTTTATTAATTTTTTTTTAATTATTTTGGATTTGAAAGCATTACTTAATCTATTTGAGAAAGTAAAAGCTAAAAGTAAATATTCCTCCCCTAGTTTTGAGATAATTTTTTTTTTCTAACTTATTTAAATTATATTTCCCTCATAAATTATAAGAAGCTATACCATATACTTTGACATAGATTTTTAGGGGGAAAAAAAAAACTAAAAGATTTATTTATAAGTAGCTCCAATAAATTGGACCAAACAAGGCCAATGTTTGCTAGACATACAAGGGGTGATACTGTGAGACATGGTAAAATAATTTCTAAAGTTAGATGGAAGTGTTATTTCTCTTGCTCTGTAAAATTTTGTATAAAATGGTGTGACTTATTTGACTAGGATCACTTAAAGCTAAAAAGGTCTATTTATTTATAAGCTTTAATTTTAAATAAGTCATTGTTACATTATTTTATGTGATTTTTTTTTTAATTTTTAGATTGGAAATTGTAATTTACATAATAACAGCACCTCTAAAAAAACAGAGAATGTTTAGTAACTACAATAATAAAATGGTTTTGGATTATAAGCATTCACTTTTGTGGCTTTGACTATGGCACACATTGTTGTATATGTTTTTGCTCAATGAAGAATTATTTATCAATATGTAGCTGGAATTTGGAAATGTTGGAGTCTTGATTTTGAATGGCATGAACAACACCTTGCTTCAAATGCACTGGCATTCTCCTTCTGAGCGCAAAATCAATGGTGCCACGTATGTTCTTTTTCTGTCTCATGTTTTATTTATTTTTTTTATTTTTTTTATAGATTGTTCAATTAAAAAACTTGGTAAATTATATTTTTCATCTTTGTAATTTGAATTTAATTTATGTTTTACATAATTATAGATTTGATGCAGAGCTTCATCTAGTCCACAAGGCTAGCGATGGAAGATTCACAGTTATAGCCATCCTTTATAAAATTGGTAATGCCGATCCTATTATTTCCAAGGTAGAGTATATAGAGATTTATTGCATTTAATCATATGTTTACCTGTCACCCCTTGTGGTAAGTAGAAGAACTTGATATTGAAATTCTAGTGAATAGAAGTGTTTGATAAGTTAATAGGTGTTGTGATGTTTCATGGTTGTAGATCCAAAGTGAATTAGCTGAGCTGGGTAAGGAGGTGTTTACAGATGAAGATGAAATCGCCATAGGGACCTATGACACCTGGAAATTGAGGCGAAATACATGCAAGTATTATAGATATGTTGGTTCTCTCACTACTCCTCCGTGCACCGAGAATGTTACCTGGCACATCTTTGGCAAGGTTAGATAAGTTCATTTCATCAACAAATTGCATCCATATATACATACAAAGGAACAAAACTTTCATTTGTTTGTTTCCAATGGAATAACTAAAATGTTTATGTTTTTTAAGAGACCAAATTAAAACCAAATTAAAAATAATAGTAGAATAAAGAATTTATTTTGTTTCCATCAAAACACACCAAAACACAGTGCGCTACATTGTAATAATAATCTTTGTTGACGTGGATTTAGAATATTTCATTATTTTTTATATATTTTTTCAGAGAAAAAAAATATATAAAGGTTGTATTTTACCATGTCAATAAATATTGTTACTTCTAATTTAGAAATTCTATTACTACTAATTTTTTAAAGAAAATTGAAAACCTTATTTGTTGGGATTCTTTACACTTGTCTTTAATAAAATTGAGTTATTTGACAATACTTAATAATTTTTGGTTTGTAAAAATACTTTTATTTTTTTATTTTTTAAAAGTTTTATACTTATTCTTTTATGTGAATAACTATATAAATATCAATATTTTTAAATATCAATTATCGAACTTTTATACATTTTATGGATTTCAATTTATGTTTCCAATCATTTTTATGCACCTCAAATTCAATTTGTTGTTAAAGTGTTTAAAACATTTATGTAAATTACAATTTCCAATCTAATTCAGCATTGCTTGGTTCAGTGGTGAAATCCCTGGCCTGGCAATCATGGGAATACAAGTTTGTGTGAGAGTAGCCATTGCATGCAAATAATGCCAAAGGTTACGTTTGTATCTGGTTCACCCCTCTTAATGTCATCGATTAACTGGCCAAAATTAGATTGTCTTTTTTATTTTTTAAACCACCCTTTTTTTATTATTACTTGAAACATCTTCCTGTTCAAATTTATACACCTGACATTGAACAGTCAGCTAGCAATACTTAGTTATCTGCAATCTCATCCTATGATTCTTAATTTGCTAGGAGGGTGATGGATGCTCTCTTAATCCATTACTTGATGGATAAACCCTCCTTAACGTGCTACTTTGATGTATCACCTCACAAATTTGACTGTAGATTAGATTTCTATATTACATTGATTCATATTTTTTTCTTAAATGTGTAACTCTACCAGTTGGGGGGACTATAATACACGAGTCATGACTTATGCCATTAAAAATAAGCTTTCCAATTTTTTGTGAATTAAGAACCTTAAAAAATAATTATGTTCATTATATTTATATTAAATTTCTCATACACCAATGTTTTTACGAAATGGCTGTTGTTTTTAATCAATCATGGCATCTGTGGGGTTTGCATTAAATAGTGATTATCATAAGCACTGTGTGAGAATTTTAAGGGTTCATTGTTATTTTATATCTGTTCAGCTTCACTCTTCAACACCTCATCTGTTTGTGTTTTTTGTCTATAACTTTTGTGGAATAGAATTGGATCATCAGCATCTCATCTGTTTGTGTTTTTTGTCTATAACTTTTGTAGAATAGAATTGGAGCAGATATTATCATGGCTCTTGATGATGTCCTAGATTTGACTCTTACCCAGGACATCTATATATTGTACTTTGCCTTATCTATGTTATGAAACTGTTGTCATTATTATGCTATAGTATGGTAAGACATTCTTGTATAGACGAACCGTTTGAATTCCGCTTCAATTTTTCCCTTCAGTATGGTTAGACACTCTCGTATGCCAATATGTATAGTTTATATTTGCTAGTTGAGAAGTCCATTGCATATTATTCTGAACTGTTGTTTTATTTAATTATTTTTGACTTGTTCTTCTTTGAATTACATTTAAGTCCGTTCAAAAAACTAAACAATGAAATACCAAAGTGGTAATGCTATAGACATAAGAATGCTGTTGTTTTATTTACAATTTGATAATGATAGTCATTTAATTTGCTAATGTGACCTTAACTTTTCATGGACATTTTTCATTATTTGTCCAATTTTACCTGACATTATTTCTCTTTTTCTTTGGTACAGATGGATGAAACAAATTGGCACTTTTTGTATTATTGGAAGGATTGTATATTTTTGTATAGATGTATATAGAAAATATTAGGGTAGACTAGTAGTTATATTTTTGGATATTTGTTTGATTATGTGTTGCATCCCATATCGATGCATACTTGGTTTTCTTAGGCCACACGCATTGAAATGTGCGATTGGTGGTCCAAGAATATGAGAATCATATCCCTTTGAGTCATAAATATGATAAGGGTGTGTTTGGTGCATACATTGCTTGAAATGCATTGCCATGCTATGTTTTTCCTCTGCTGCTGTCAACAACAGATTCTGCAGGAAGATTTGGCCGGCCGAGCCATCTACCAGTGCCGACTGCTACATAAAGGCCGATGGATTAATTTGTGGCGGTGACCATTCTCCACTGACGCGTGACCAATTCCTCGAGCCGGTGGTGTCTCACAGCAATTCAGGAAGAGCAACCTGAGATTTTGACAGTCTTCAAGATGGATAACGTCAAGTCGAGGCACTTGTGCATTAGGCAATGGCTTTCCTAGGCGGAGCCCGCGCGCATTGCATTGGGCCTCTTCCCGGAGCTGTTTACTGGCTTTTATCAGATTAATTATTTCTTAATTAATTAACTGGTCTGTACATAATTTAATAGCTGTAGGTTAATTAATTTGTATTATTCTTTCGGTCGCCTCCGAGCGGGTAAATTGTAATAGCTGTGGGTGCGTGTGTGCTGTCTTCCAACCCACTTCTTTCTCCTTTTCTTACCTGCTTTTGATGGTTAGTATTAGGACATGTTTACTTTTAGCATACTTTATGCTATCAGCGTGCCTCAATTCATTAGTCTTTGCAGCACAGGCTCGGCGCATCATGCTAACTGCATAAAGTCAATTTATATCTAACTTGAATACATGCTATCTGTGATTTTCACATGTATCTAGATTGCCGAGCCTATTTAGTTGCTTTTGCATGTGTTGGCAATTTGCCATTCTTAACATGAACTAGGATCATGCACTGATTACTACTCTGGTTTCTGTTTTGGCTTGGAGTAACTAAGTACTTTTATGCTTTAGCATGCCACATGTGTGTGAATGTTGCCATGTATAGCCATAATTACATGAGGCTAGCCTTCCTTATGTCGATATACTGCTTGATGCCTGTGGGTGGGTTGGATTTGTTTGAGTTGGACAACTGTTGAACCATCCATGGCTTTAGCCTCTTGGCGAGAG